TTTTTTTTTTTTTTTTTTTTTTTTTTTTTTTAAACCAAGCTCTGCTTAGTCTGTTTCCTGAACTGTCAGCATGGTCACAATCAGTGGAAGTAACAGGTTTTACTAGTGCTGAATTACAGATTTGCCCTGGCCTGTCTTAGTAGAAGCAGTGTTTTCTGCATTTTGGCCTAACCATAAATTCCCTCTGGCTAAGAACTTGATTATAGGAAATCTTCAGCTGTGCTTAAGGCTAACAGAAATGGAAAAGCTTCTTAAATACTATCAATGCCCTAAGCTCCATCAGGTTTCACTGCAACTTCTCTCCATACTAAGCATACCATTCAAGCTGGCCAAAAATCAGCATCATCAGTCTTTTATGCCAAAGTTTGGTTGTTTGGTTGTTTTTTTTTAAAGAATGAAGGGCATTTTGGAAAAAAAATAGCAGACATCATCTTGCACTTGCTCAGCCTCTCTCACAGCTGTTCAGCTCAATGCAGTCCAAGGCCTTAATATAGAATAAGCATGCTGGTACTGTCCAGTTGCAGTAGATGCATCACTCCAGAACTCTAAAATCATGGCAGTGTAGCAGGCTACTTTCAGCACTATTTACAGGAAAACATAATAAAACAAGACAGTCCCCATTCTCTGTTGCAGCCATCTTTGTTAGCCTTTTCTGTCACTGCCCCATTTTGCTGGCCCCTCTGCATGCAGACTAACTCATTTTTATACTGCATTAGACTCTTCTGGGCATAGCTTGAGCAGATCAAGCTCCGAGATGACAAGCAAATGGTATTTCTTTGTAAATTACACAGGGAAAAAGCAAAAGAAAATATGTGTGTGATTAGATAGACTCACTATCTCCCACACAGTTCACAACAGTAGCTTAATTCCTTTTGCAGCTTCTCCCTGAAGTTGCTCTGATGTCCTGTATGCCCTCTCCTCCCACTCCTATTTTTCAAGAGATAGCCACAAACATACCTGTAAGGTGCTGGTTAAAAAGTTGTCCTGGGAGACAATGTCCACAAAAAAATCAGATGGGATTTCACTGAGCTGATGATAAAGCACAGAAATTAGATTGATGTAAAGGTCTTGATACTTCCCTATGGCATCTTCAGATCGGCACAGGATGTTTAAGAGTCTTTTCCAGTGCTCAAATGCATCATACACATTCCCGATCAGGAAGCAGATGAAAGCAAACTGCAGCTCAGCTGTGAATATTCAGCAAAGGAAGACAAAACAAAACACATGTAAGACTAAAAACATATCCAAGGTACGTGTCCTCTCAAAAACTCTGTAAATGATTGCATAAAACCGGGTTAGCCTTTTGCACACACATTCTGCCCTTCCGGCAATTCTGCTAATAGCAATCAATACTCCAAACACTGACTATGTCCTAATGCTCTGCCCTTCAGCTAGAGAAAGAGCAAAGCATAATTGGGCAGGTCCACCTGTAACTGTAATTACCATCTTTGGAGAGTGATTTTACAGGCAGAGTAAACAGTCACCTAAGGCCTTCCACTGTCACCCGTGTTCTCAAAATGACACTCAAAAAGTCAGACATTGCAGTTATTCTGCAAGCTTTCAGTCCACGTGTGCCAGGGTCTCCAGAGGCACATGGGAGTGCAAACACCCTCGAATGCAAGGGCTGTGGGAACACTGGGAGTGGGAGAGGTGAGCAGTGCATAGACAAATATTTTTTCTTCGCTGATTTAGGAGCCAGGCTTTGTCTCACTGGATGCTTTTTTTGCTCAAAAATCAGCTATTTTGACAGCATGATGGCATCACCATTTCCTAAAGTAGTTTATTCTTTGTATATCCTAGTTGTCTTTTGATAATTTTCATAAATTATATAACATTAATATAGAGAAAACGGATGAAGGGAAAAACAAAGACTTATTCCAAACCTCAGTAGCCTCGAGGGTCCAGCTTGGCTGGGTTCCCAAGCCCTCCTTTCATCCTGCCACAAAACAGAACCACACTTCAGGACCTCCTGGGCAACTGCCCACTGGGAGACCCACACAGGAACAGGAGCCTGAAAATTACGATGTTCAGCCCCATCCAATGCGCCCAGAACTCCATAAGCTCCATCCTCAAGAGGTTCAGTTGACAGGCAGATTTGCCTTGCCGGTGCCAGACCACAGGCGCCCTTTGTGTGAGATGTGGCTTGTGGCCACTCGCGATTGCTGCTTTTGACTTAATTTGAGGCAATCTGGGCCCCAAGCACAGCACAGAGAGGCAAAGGCTGACAGCTCCAGCCACCTCACACCAGTGCAATTGCAACAGGCCCTACAGCTGCTAAAAACTCCACAAATTTCTGTGCTGCAATTGAGAGGGATGCCTGCGGGCGCCAGGGCACAGGGCCCACAGCACAGCACAGGGTTCATCCCGGGGCTCCCGTTTTACAGAGAAACGCCGTTATTCTCCCAAAGCGGCCCAGGACTCCCGCGGGCAGTGCTCACCCAGCAGCTCCAGAGGCCGGCTGGCGTAGCGCTGGGTGATCACTTTCTCCAGGGTGTAGCTGAGGTCCATGCTGTGCCTGGTGATCTCCTCCGGGGTGGCACCATCGGGGTACGTCTGCTTCGGCAGCTCCGTGAACCTGATCTCGGTGCCGGCTTTGGGCTTCATCTGGGGCAGCCGGGCCATGCCCTCGGCCAGGCTTCGGCACGGGGCGTCCACGGGG